CATTAAAACCAAGTCTGGAGTACTTCCAGTGAGGAAGGAAGTTTCCACTGTTTTGTGGGCAACCAGTTCCTATGCTGAATTGCTCTAGTGAAGATTACTTTTTTTTGTTTTCTTCAGTCCAGACAGAGTTGCCCCTGAAGAAGCTTGTTCCTGTTTCCTCTCGTACTGTCACTGTGCATCCTTGGGAAGAACCTCTGTCTTCTCCTCAGCTACGTTTTAAGTACTGGAAAACACAGTAGAGTTCCCCGACCCTTCAAAAATCCCATGTTAATTTCTCTCCCACTGTTAAAATGAGCGTCAACACAGGAGAAACATACTACATAAACAAACCAACCCAAACAAATGGCATTTATCTTAGACAAAACTAACAAAACTCACTCTCTACCCCTGAAAGGGAGAACAAAATAATCTGTTTACATTGAAACATCTCAACATACAACTTCGTTTGAAAACCTCCTTTTTTATATAAAAAACTTTAAAAATAGTTCTGTACAACAGAGAAATCCCCAAAAGGAATAATTAGCAAGGCTTACTTTAGTGACACAAAGTGACCCTCCAAAACTCAAGATGAAGCCTACTAGGCAAACACAACTTCAGGCTAAGACTACAAGACTTTCTCTTACCCTAAAGGCTTAGATCTTTCCACAGCAACTGAATTAGCAAGAGCCCGTTTCATGGATTTTTTTTTCAGAAATGTATGTTACTCATTCTTGACCATTTTATGCAGYATCTGGAGTGAGCCTCAAAGGATGCAGCTACATTGGTGCTGCAGTTTGGGTGAAGAATCAGTTCCCACACAAAATTTGAATGTTCTCTGCTTAGTTTGCTTCCATTGCTTGTACTCCACATCTAATTTAAGAGAAACTTACTTTAATACTGGAAATACTTGATCTAGAATCATTAATTTTCTTTCTCTGTGCTCTTTCACAAGCATAATAGTTAAAAAGACATGTGTGGAAAATTATAGGAAAATCACATTAGCTCTGCATGACTCAGATAATTATATTAGACTTTGCACTTTACCCCATAAGTTTGGTAAATGAGGTTTATCGTTCTGTTGAAAGATGCCCATATCACTGCAAATAATGAGAATGAAAAGGGGTGTACAGGAAGGTAGAAGTTAATAGAACAGAATGTCTTTGCAAAGGGCACAAGGATTGCCCTTTACAACTGTAAGTCAACAGCAATCATTCACACTCTCCAGCACTCAGCAGGCAGAAATTCTGCCTTGCAGGCACATATGATACAATACTTGGACTTGCYACCTTCACAGGAAAGCAAAGTTATCAAACACCAGTGTCATGGCATAAAAAAGCAGTGAATTTCTAGAAAATAAAGATTCCAAGCCATCCATCTCAAAATGAGTGCCTTACAGTATCATTTATAACAGTCATGCCATGGCATCACTGATGCAAAATGAACCTGGGCCCATGCAAGCAGCTGCTTTCTGACACTGGTGTGAACCTGCAGCTTCCTCCTAACATGAAAACACTTAATGAAWTTTTTTACCTTGTGATCAATTTCCAATAATAGAAACACTGCTGTCTTTAGCAGTTATTAGCTCCATACTCAGCTAATGTAAAAGCTGTGTCAATTTACCTCCTGACCTAAATTAGGTTTTTCAGTGTCAGCTAGCTTAGCCAGGCAGAAGGATGCAATAGTTAGCTGAGTCAGACGACCACTTTATTAAGATTGTTTCAGTTGCATATTCTAATAAAGGCAATGGCATGATGAAAAAATTGTATTTTTTTTTTTAGCATGTAAATCTTAACCTAAAAGTTCACATATAGACTTTTTCTGACATATTATAGAGAATCTACTGATGACTTCATCTAACCTCCAGAGCATAAAACCACAGCAAAATAAAGTTAAGCTATGATAAATCATGACTGCCTGTGGGCACTATGGAAAAACGACTCCTTTGATGGTCCTGAACCTCCTCACCTTCTCATCATTTTATGACACAGCAGAACCCCCGTTTCTCTGTCTGGATGCTAAAAGCTTCAAGGTTATTGCTGGTTTTTAAGGAGTCTTTGAGTCTGCAGACAGTGCCATCCACTGCATTGCTAAGTGTGGCATGGAACATTAAGAGCTGCATTAAAGAAAACCAGACATTTATCTCTGTATTTCAGATATAAACTTTATATCATCTTTTACWGCTATAGACAAATACTTGACGTGGATTTGAGATGGCCCATGACTGTTTACAAGGTTGGCAATATAGCTCTGGCCAGCTGAGTTATTTTTACAGAAAGTGGGCAGGTACTGCAGTACAGTACAAAGATGGGAGACTGAGAACAACGGGACGTAAATGCTGTGAAACAGCAACAAACGAGGTAAGGAAACCTGCCTATGGGTTGAGACCGTGTCAGAAAAATGACTTTTTAAACATTTGGGTAACTGTGTCCCCTAAATTAAGCAATAAACACAACCCACTTATTTTCCCATTTTTCAATGATGCAACTCTTCCCAGACATGCTGTCACCTGTACTGGACATAAGCCCTCTTTCGAGAGATACTGTTTATTTAGGGAGCTGGAAATTCGAAAACATTTACACCTATCCCCTCCCCTGGTGTGACTGGTAACACACCTGAAGGTATTAATCCCAGAAATAACAGTATAAATCACAATTTCAGAGTATGAGATGAGAAACATTAAAAAATATGTTGCACAAAGAATTGTTGGGCCAGTGACAGTGATTACCATTCTGCAGACTTGATGTGTGACGGATGAGAATGTTTTGAAGATACCTGTGTGACATTTCACATCTTGTATCAAATGGGTAAATCCCTGACATATTCCATGCATTTCAAAGACTTTTGGCAGATTTTATTCTCCTGAAATTCTCAAAGGCTATTTATTGCTCTTGGAAATGGCCTTCAGTCTGTGTCAGTGTGAAAACAAGCCCCTGAGAGGCAAATTACTAAATGCAGAGTTCTCCTTACCTAAGATTTCTTATATAGCTCAGTGAAGGTATTGATTATTGTCTCACGTTGTATGGCCAAATGTCAACTGTGTTCTGAAAAGAATTAACACATGGAGAACATCTCACTTTAATTTTGATATATTAGAAAAGTCAGGATATMAAAAATGACTCTGTACATCATGATGGATGCACATTTCTCAGTGGAACAGAAATATACATGCATATAAACACAAAATTAACTGTAATTTTGTATTTACTTAATTCTGTACTTACAAGATTATCAAGCTGCATTAATATCTGTGAGAAAGAAAAATCAAGATGARCAGACAATAATTACTGACCAAAGCCAGAAAAAATCCAGATTAGAAGTGAAAATAAAATTCAAGAGGGATTTTACACCACTGTCTGAATTTGTGGATCAYTCAATTTGATAAAGGTAAAGCAAGATTATTTGGAACACAATTTAGGGCACTAATACACATAGAATAAATTKGTTGTTTACAGACTTTACAGACAGYGTGTTGTTCCAAATGTGTTTCAGTTTAGTAAMCTTGCCCTAGGAAGCTTTCTATGTTGTCTGGGATCGCTGGGTTGTTAATTTGATTTTGTTGTTGGGTGGGTTTTTGCAAGTTGTGGGGTTATTTTTTCCTTTTGGGTTTTTTTGGTTTTAATCTTTAATCCCATTATTACCTTTTTAGCAACTTTTCAGCAACCAGACTAATTGCTTCCACTGTGCATTAAAACAAAGGCTTTTTCATATGTGTTTTATTACAGAATAATAACTTGCAATCCAAGTATGGGCACCTCAGCTGAGGAGGGGTTCAGCACAAGCGTCCCACTGTGGACACAGACACAGCTGGTGAGCTGCTGTTTGTTCAGCTACACCCTCTTTTTCTGAACCATCTGCACTTTTTAGAGGCTGGTACAAAATTTACTGATAACTCTGAGCCCTGGAAAACCATCAAACCCACACTTTCTGCTCTTGGCATGAGTATTAGTTGTTGTGGTCATCTCACAATTCTTACTCAATTATAAATAGCTCTGACTATTACTAGTGTTGAGCAGCATCTGGAAAACAAGTATTGGATTTTTACTTTTTCAGTGCTCATAATTTTTTTAATGTGATGTGTCTCACAAAATCAGTAACAAAGGAAACTAGTGTGGTGCTCCTCAAATCATTTGCCAGCTGTGAACAAAGGCAGTCAGGTAATTAAGTGTTTAGATTTCACTCAGTCTCAGGTTAAGAATGACTAAGTGGAGCTCAGGATAATCATTCTGCACCTAAGACTAATCTGCAGTAACAGGGAGAATTCTGTAGTTAAAAATCCTTGGAGGAAAACCAGAGACATATCAGTAATTAAGGAAATACTAACAACTAGTATGCCTACAGTATTTTTATGTTCAAAACCTCAAAGCTTCACTCCTACAGGTCAAAACTAAACTAGAAAGAAGCAGGATGAATATTTGCATATTCAGTAGGTCACACATGCATTTGTATTGGTTTTGAGGTTTTTGTTTGTTTGGGTTTGTTTTTTTTTTTACTTTGTAATCAGCTTTAAGACATAACAGGGAGAAGCTTGTGCTTCTTGTGCTTCCACTGCCCTGTGTGTGCACTGATGGGGCAGAGCAGTAATTCCTAGAGGTGTGCTTACACATAAAGATTGTGGGGTAGGGAACAGTCCCAGTTTGGGAGAAACACGCAGAAAGAACAAGTCAGGGAAGCAGACGAGGGGCTGGATGGATCTCTGGAAAGGATTTCAAGAGGGCAGGAACAAAAGCAAAATTAGAAGCAGTTTCTTTAAGGTATTTGCTATATCCTATTTCACCAATAAAAATACATCCAGTGTTGTGCAGCTACAGGTTTGGTCTTAACTGACAGGAACAACAGAAACATGCTTTTTTTGTTTCTTCTTTTAGGGTTGACTGTTGCATTGAAAAACAGACCCCACTTTTGAAAGGATATTTCTCTAACCATTTTCAAAAGTTGGACTTGAGCTAATGCTAAACTATAACTGTGTAAAAAGCATCATTAACACAGTCCAAATCTTAAATAATAGATCATGTGACAAGATATATCCAAAAATTTAAATTTATCAAAACAGTCATTAAACACAAGTTTATGGAAGTTGTGTCATAGTTTAAAGGCTTAGTCTCTTGAAAAGTTTGTCTTCTTCCTCATTCAATAGTGGCTGTTCCCATAAGGTTCTTTTGAGATTTCATTTGAATTTCAACCTTCAAAACCACTATTAAAATTTGGGCCCACTGACACAGGCCATAACTTACAACCCACAAACTCATATAATCTACAAACTTCCAAGCAACTGCAGCTGAAGATTTACTTCTGACAATTTCCAGTGATACATGCAGGAACCTTGTGAAGCAAGTAAACAGTTTTTCTGCATTTGAAATACACCAAAAGAATTTACAGATAGAAATAAAAACCATACACCAAGTTATTTTTCTTACAGATTTTATGTACCACCTCATATCTTTCATTTTTACATGTGAACTAGTATCTGCAATAAAGTTTGAAACATTTGAGATTGTTCTTTGCATTTGCATTCTTATTTAAAAAATTATAAAATTCTTGTTTAAAGAAAAATCAGCACAGTAAAACAGTCTGGAYGCATGGCCTGCCGTTGTGTACTATCCACCAACAGGTTGTGCTGGATTAAATCTCATTATTCCCAAACCTGCCCTCTGTGGTAGCATCACCACTGAGAAGAATGATCTACAGAGAAGTCAATGACAACTGAACAGTGACAGAATATCCTCAGCTGGAAGGAAAGCACAAGGATCATCACCTGTTACTCATTGCATCACAGTGCCCGAGCTCCATTAAACAACTTCACCTCCAGTGATCTGTTCTCTGTCCCTGCCTCAGAACCCTTGTGTTGTGCAAACAGTCTCAGGGCAACACCAAACCTAAGAAGGGAAACTACACACTTGTGACTGAAGTATGGAATTGTTGAGCACAGGAAGCAGAACTGCCACCTCTCATAAAAAAAAAAAAAAAATCCATTCAATTACAAATGAGCAACTCAGGATATGACATTCRGAGATTCCAGTTTGTGGCACATTTTTCCACAGATTAGCTGAACTGTAACCTACTTGGCCAGCAGTTTCTTCAGGCAGGGTTTTTAATTTTTCATGAACACATTGCTCTAATAAAGTACTTGGCATTAGTTATGGCTTTTGAATTAAAATGCATTCATGACATTAAATTTTAAAACCACTAAGCCATTAATTTTGATCAGCTTTTTTTTCCTGGTATAGTGTTTGCAAGAATTAGCAACTAAGTGCATATTTCACCAGCAAAAGAATAAAGGCTGTACTAATAAAACTTACTTTTGCATGTCCCTGCAGAGAATGGCAATATTTTATACACCAACTGCACAGCAAATGAAAGCCAAAAACAAATTTGCTGTTCCAATAAAGGCTGATCTGTCAAATATAACATAATAGTTTAACTTATGATCAAGGGCAAGTTAGCACACAATTTGCTATCTACATTTTCTTCTGAATTCAGAAATAAATGGGTTTACAGCATTGCAAAACAGTTCCATAAATTGTCTGGCTCAAGCACTGACTTTAGTACCTATTTGTGAAACCATCTTCCTACAAAAATTTCCAGGTAATAGCTAAATAGCTGAGCCTACTCAGCTGAGGATGCTGGTCTGCAATTTCTTCAGGTATGCAAGTCCCTGCAGTTGCCCTACTTTACCTTATCAGAAAATTCCCCTTTTGCCTGCTTTTTTCCAGCTAACATTCAAAAGCTCAAACAGTATAAATCACAGGCATTTCAGTTTTTAATATAAAATCATTACTTCAGGTACATCTCCTGGCCTCACTAACCCTGTTACTAAAAGCAATAATCACCTGCTGACAGCAYGGGAGCCCAAGAGCAGACTTAAACCAGTTCTCAACTCATCTTGTTTCATCTCATTCATCTTGTATTTATGAAACAGTGCAGAGTTATGACACTGAAGGTGTTTAACAGGAACAGCCAATTTGATATCTGATTCTCATGCTCGTGCCATTCTACTGTTCAATACACTGCAGTCAGGGAAGCAGCTCAGCTATAGTTGTACATTTTAATTGAGTACAATTTACACACTTTATACACCTCTAAGTAGTGCATCAAATTTGCTCAGCAATAAGAATGCAGCTCAGTAAAACAGATGTCTGCTCCTCCAGCTTCCCCATTCTTAGAATCAGTTTTCTTTATTACTCTACATTAACTTGTAGATAAATTAAGCATAACATAAGTGTCTAAAATTCCAGCTGTGTTGCAAAATGCTGCTGTAAGGCTAAATTTTTAAGTCCAAGTAGTTTCATAATCTATGTGCAGTTATTTATGAAGGCAGCAGGAATGCTATTCTGACAACCTAATTAAACTTCCAATAATGTCAGCAGGAATCTGATTGCAAAATGGCTCATTTTATAAACATCACTACTTTTATGACTGACAAAAATATGCACGATCAGGTGCCAGCTCCTTCACAAATACGTATTTTATAACTTGGGTCACAAACTGCTTGCCAATACAAATTCTAAAATGTTAAAGGTCTCTGCTCAACCCATAAAAACCAACACAGGTCACACAAAGATTTCATGGATGTTGTTCTTCTGCCCGTTCCACATCCATGTAACTTCAATAGTTCCAGAGGAGTTAACTCCCAATAAATACATACATTTACATCTAAATCAATCCATCTSCTGTATACAATATTCAGTCTGGGATTACACCTGGACTGTAAACACAAGTGAAGTATGGGACACAGAAAAGATARTTGACCTTTGTGTATTGCAAACCCACTCTATGGTCTGCAGGTCACACTCSGTGTGAAGCACACACTTCTCCAGAATTTGCTTTTCCAGCTGACTGCCCAAAAGTCTCTTTAAAATTGCACTGATATACTGAAGTCAGAAAAAAAAAAGACATTTCTAATTGGAAATGTTCAAATTAAAAAATGCATAGGTGACATCCCACTACTTAAAGCAGAAATGAACTGTAAATTGAACCATTTGCCACTGGTAGCAACTGCTCCGCTGGGYAACCACTACAGCTTTGCCATGTACAGCACAGGTTAGAACCAAGCACKGGTTCAGCCAGCTCTACTGTGATGTGGATACATTTATAATAAGCTTGAATACAGGGAAARCACGGTAACATGGCACTGACCAACTGGCCACACAAACAGGAGACATCCCAGCAGTTCTGTGGTGCCCACTCTTCCCAGTCACCACGATGAATCCATTCCAAAATCCAATGTCAGCAGCTTCTCATCTTGGGATTCACACGGGGTTGTTGTGATGGTTTGAGCTTTTGCATCTCCATTAAGATAATTTGAAAGTATAGTCTCAGTACAGCAAGGATGGAAACATACAACTAAAAGTCAGACTTCACAGTCCTCATGAGTCTAACACACAGTTTTAAAAACCTTTTTTGGACATGTGACTTTGGGTTCTATAAAAAATGAAGTTAACATCAAATAAAAACTAAAACAGAATAGGTAGAACGTTTTATTTTTGTCAAACCTTAAATGTAAAGTATATTAAAAAAACATGGTTTGGAATTTCAAGAGCAGGAATATAAACATGTATTTTCTATCCCAGAAAAAAAAATCATGCAGGTGTTACAGTATTTGATCATTCTCTACATTCACTGGTATGCAACATCAACTTAATGTTATTCCATAGATACAGAGATGCTGTAAATTGGTACAAACACCGGGGTCCTCTGGCCTCACACCGCAGATGAAGCAACTCTGTTCTTTGGTAATTGGAGAAGGCTGATTTTCCATTCCAATGCAGGACTGTTAGGAGGCCATTTTAGCCACTCAGCTCAGAAAATTACAACTCCTGTAGACAATCTGGGCCTACTTTTGTCACAAGAAAATACTATTAGAGGTATAAATGCAAAGTTAAAATTATTCRTTCCTTGTGGTGGCTGTTCCAGGAAAAAAAAAATCTCCAACTCTCTCCTCCTCTATTCATCATTTCATCTAGGTAACATTTAGACTCATATGCAAAGRTATTTGCTAGATGGGAATGTACACATGCATACTTTCAGCTTAAATAAAGAGACGTGTGTGGAGAATGGCAATTTAAAGGTAACATGACTTGAAGGTACGCCTATAATAAAGTTTAAAGATTTAATAAACCGGGACATTACAAATCCAAAAAAAAGTGTTTCTAGATTTTTCATCTTCCCTTTTTCAACAAAGACTGACAGAATATACATATACAGGTYGACATTTTGATTTATCCAAAACGACTTTCACTTTGCTCAGTTTGCAAGTCCTATTGACTAAAATGTAATATCATTCACAACAAAATATTTTCAGTAAGTGAAACGAGAAGCAAAGAAACCCCAAACTAAGCTCAGAAGCTAAGTGGTTTAGAAAGCCTGGCAACACCTACGTGTGCGTCAGTGTGTCCATACCTTTTTTGTACACTATATCTATAGACACACCCACACATTCCTTTATTTACACACACCCGTGCGCACACGCGCACACGCACACACACGTGGGGAACCTGCCGTGGACATCTATCATCTAATAGGGAACAAAACACATCATTTAAAAATGTGGCTAATTTAACAAAACAGAGAAGAAACTGCTGCTATCAAAATATACAATTTGGATTGCAGACTAGAAGGCTAACAACATTAAAAAAATAGTTTTAAGCAAAACCCCTTTGCTTCTGAATAACAACAGGTATCAACCTGCCATAGCATGAATCATCCAAACAAGATTTTATAAAAAGTTTAAACTGTGACCCTTCCTCATATGTAAAGTTCTTGACATATCATATAGTGCGAGCTCTGGTCTCCAAACTGGAGCCCCTTCTGTTTTTTTTTCAATCCATACTTCAGGAAATAAATGGCAGCTGAAGGATTCAGAATCTCAAGTGAGATTTGTGCTTTACCATATACCTGAAAAAAATGAACAGAAGACAGCATTACTACCCTTGTGGCATTTAGAGGAATTTTATTTGAGGGATAAAATGCACAGGCATTGTTAAAACAATTCTGAGAGAATGAGAAAGTTGCCAAAGAGATGCAACGTTTTATGCACCACAGAGAGTTCTGTGTTATGAACAGGGTTTGTCCCACTAAATAACAGACAGCTACAACCTTGACTCAAAGAAATCTCATGTTTTCCAAAGCATCTATGACTTCTAACATTGAAAGACTGTTGTTAAAGATATCTAGTTCATTCTGGGAGTTCAGATATATTGCTCATCTGAGACTTGCAAATAGGAAGCCATGGCGAATTTTAGGACTGGTATTATTTTGACAATCCCCACAGGATTTTTCTTTTTCACTCAATCACTCAAGCAGTTTGCTGTGTAATCGACATGAAAAGATTAAACATTCATGAAATGCATGGRCTTCTCCCCTCCCTCAATATTTCTTCAACTGCTTCATGATAATAAAAGTTTCTTCTGTACAACATGAAAAAGGCATTGCAGTGAACCTCTCCTTMAGGAGGTTCTGACCCACAGAAGCAGAGTCAGAAGGTGGGGAATCATGGGACTAATCAATGATTAATGGCAACTACCCTTCCTTTAAATCCACATTTATTACACATTGGAGATGATTATTTACAGTCTGTAAACATATACCACTATGTTTTATTAACTGGATTATCAGGGAAAATCAAAACAAGCAGTATTTCTAAGCTAAAACATTGTTCACAAATCTGAGTCATAAACAATTCCCTGGCCGCCAGAACTTTTAATTCYCACCAAACACCACAAAAGCACGAACATCAAGGACTTTCAGCAGGAAACATACCTGTCCAAAGTTTCCCAGAAGCGTAGAAATACTGGCCTGTCCAAGTGTCTTTTGTGGTARCTGAGCTCTAACACTGTCACATCCCATTTTTGTACGTTGGGATCCAGGCGCACTTCATCGTACTTGAGATGAAAAGCTTTAACTGCAGCAAACGGGAAAGCATTCAGCTCAAACACGATGGTTTAGTGTTTCTTTATTGAAAGAAAATTCCCACCCTGCCCTTCATTTTTTTCAGAATGAAGTCTGAGAGCAAAATTAACAAACCCATAACCCAAGGAAGTCAACTCCTCGCTAAAGGGCACTGAGCTAAACACAGAGCTCCATGGCTCTCAGGCTATTCCAGGTAAAGGCAGCCCCCACTGCAGATCCACTGATCCCCAGAGAACAGCAGAAACAGACTGCCAATTCAAGTACACTCTCTCTGAGAAACAAAGATGTTCTTTCTGAAAATCTCTGAACTGTCAAAGCATTAAAAATAATAGTAATAAAAAGATATTTCTGCAACTGTTGAGTAGGAATCCTGGCTATTTCCCGGAATAACCTATAGAAGATGGATAGCAGAGTGCCAATGTAACCCCAAATGCTACATAAAGCATTCTGAGAAATTTAGTAACTGCCAATTTCCCCGATCTAGTACTCAGTTAAAAATGGTAAAATATTAACTGTTATTTTTCCCTTGGGAAGTATTGTCACATGTGAATTATGTGAAGCCTCAGCATTTACACAGTGAGCATTAAACTCAATGCATTTAAACCTCGTACARTTCCTCTCTCGTAACCAATCTGGTGATTTTAGTAGTACTGGAAAATTAAACAGTCTTGTGGAAACAAGTTATTTTTAATGCCATGGGTGTATCTTCTGATATCACACTCTTAACTTTGCCTTCCACAAAATCTCTTTTCCAGATATATCCAGGAACTTCCCAGAAGGTTGGTATGTGACATTAGCTTTTTTTTATAAGTTGACAAACTAAAGAAATTCTCATCTGGCTTGTATCTCTGCCAGATAAATGTCCAAGCTTTGTGAATGGAAATTAAGAATGCATATACATTATCTCTGCTATACAATTCTGCATGTATTCATATAACTTCAGAGAAAAAAAATAAAGAAAACCTCATCAACACCTGACAGGGCCTCTGCATTAAGGGGAAATGTTTGTTGACCACAAGAGGATCCACTTCTGAAACTGAAACAAATCATTATTAAAGCTCACTGATGTGCTCTTGGAGGAAGACCTTTAAAATGGTAGTCAAAACTCAGTATTTGTTTATTGAAGTGACAGCATTCAAAATCTCATCTCAAACATTCTCTTGCTGATGTAAAACCAGGGTTTGTTTGCTATGYGAACATGAAACAGGCCATGTGTAAGGAAAACCAGGCAAGGGAATATATTTTTGAAATTAAAGATCCATTTCAATGTTTGAATTAAGGACAGATATCCCTCTTTCACTTGGAAAACACAAGGATTTGTGCACCTTCAGCCTGAACTGCACATGCTGTGACTGGGATCTTCTGGCATGTGAAGATCAGGAATGTCAAAGCATGTCAGAACAATTCCTGTGGCCCTCCATASATGGATATATATAAACTGTTAAAATTATCAGGAAGCAGCAGGTAACTGCTAGCTAGACCTTCAATACTTCACTGCTTTTTCCTYGGCTTTGCTTCTCACAATTGCCATTTTCCTGTATCTTTATTTTGAAGTGCTATTTCCTTCTTTTATTAGTTTCTTTTGTTAAACTCTCTCCAGTGGTGTATTTTTACTTTTACAATGACTTTCAGGCTCTTTCACTCCTTCCCTACTCATTGTCAATCCCCCTTTTAAGTGACCCATTCTATTTTCTTGTTCACAGACCCATCCTCAGTTTTCTGTCTGACCCTTGAGTTTTTCCCTTGCTGCTCACCAAACCAGCATTCCCTTTCCAGATTCCACCTCCATASCAAAGAGAGGCACTTTGGATAAGCATCAACACCCCACAAGAAACCCCAAACACAGTAACAAACCCCAAAACTCAGGAACAAGCAAAACCTGATCAAACCTGTTTCCTCATCACGCTGACTGCAAGAGGACAGAACTGAACTATGGTGACTTTGGGTTTGCAGCATTTGTAGAGTTTTTTCTTTTGTGTTTATTGTTGGTTTGGGGTTTTTTGAACCATCTGAAGCCATAGTATACTATCAGAAGCTCTGTTTTCTGAGGCAGCTCAGAGAAGAGAAGCTGACAGCTTCCTTAGATATTATGGGCCACCTCTGTGCCAGGGAGTGCCTCAAAGCACCACAGTTGTGTGGATTCAAAAAAACCTGTTCAGATCTACACACTGGTATCATCCAGCTCACTTGAAACTTAAAGTTTTTTAAATTTTCAGGTTTTTGTCAGACACCAGATCATAAATTAATGCTTTCTTAAGTGGCACCGTGGGTGATTAATCCCCTCTTCAAAGCAGCACTGGAAGGTGAAGGCAGTCTGTAAACCTGTTATCTCTGARTTGTTGGAATGTGCATTGTCTGTTCACCTTTTCTTTAGAAGGCTGGGGAGTAGATTYGTACACCAGCTATTTCTGTGTGGCTGACAGCTCTGAGAAGATTCCCCTGAGCTCCAGCAGGTCAGGACAGAACAACCACAGAGGGCACAGGAACATTCACGATTTGTGAGGAGACCAAGCCCAAATTCTGCTCAGCCACCCGTGCCCAAAAAAACTTTGCCATAAGCATCAACACCCCACAAGAAACCCCAAACAYAGTAACAAACCCCAAAACACAGAAACAAAACAAATCCTTACTTTTTGCAAAGATGTCGACGGGAGATCCGTCGGGCAGGAGCCAAGGCCAGCCCTTGAACTGCCAGGCGGGGCCCTGGACAAACACAGCCACCACGCGGTCCCTGGGGACAGAGAGGGAGCACACGGTCACAACCCGAACATTTCAACCACTGCTGCCCCAAACAGGCAGTGGGAACAGCTGATTCCTTTATAGGGCACGACAGCACATGTATCAACCCCACCTTCAGCACAACTGCTTGTCCTCTGTAAAGAAAAAAACCCTTTCATGTGATCTCCTCTGTAAAGGAAAAACCCTTTCATGGGGCAGCCCTGTCCCTTTGCAGCTCCGTTGCTCAGGTTACAACTTTCAGAAGTCAGTGTTTATTTGTGGTCACCATTACTTTGCTTTTGAAAAGTGCTCCAACATTTTCAGAGATGATTTTCTGTGAACAGGACTGTAAAYTGAGATGTGCAGATTTAAAAGCCTTTATTCTCAACACTGCTGATTTCCAGGCTGAAAATTCAGGAGAAGCAACAGCTGCTATATTTCTGCCAAGTGCATCAGCTATTTTAAGAGCACACAGCCATTATCTGTGGTCTAAAAAAATTAATTTCTGATTAAGATGAAGCTTTTGCATTAGTAAAATTTAAAAAAAAAAACAAACCACCTTTGAGAATAAATGACCTCCCACACATGGTCTGTCTTTCTCTTGAACATTTACATTATCCAACCACAGCTCCAACCTACCACAACAAATAATTACTTCTCTAATTTAATTCCCAAATTTAATTCATCATAAAGTCCACTAAATCCCAAATGGAAAAGAATAATTAGGTGGAATTTTGTGGTCTGAGGTGTTTTGCAGGTTTGGTACTGGCTTCCTTGGATAAAACCAAGAAAAAAAACCCACACTACTTCATGCYTTTGGTCAGAAGTGCTTCAGAACCTGGTTTAGATGGATTTTAAATGCTTGATCATCATCAAATATTTTAAGTGCTATTTAATAGTCAGAATTTTAAATTCATAGATTTCTGGTAAGTTCAAGTTCTAAATACAGGGAACAATTAATTTAGGAACAGAGCCTTTCAAAGTGCTCCTCTCTATTAAAATCTAATTTGGAAATTACAAAACCACCAAATTCATCACCGTCCATGTCCCAGATCTTCTCACTTGTGAGGAAGAAGTAAAATGCCACATAATGCACTTCATCAAATAACAGAAAGATGGCAAACAACAAAAATATGCTTCTCTAGAGTTCTGCTCAAAGAGAACTATTTTTTATAGCATTGAAGAATGGGCTACAGATCAAATAATCCATTTCCAGCTTTTTCATGAAAGCTAAAACTCTACGATTCCCTTTCTCCAGCTAAGGCTCATCCTTCAGAAGTAAAATTCTGGTAGTTCCAATACAGGAATCACAGTTCAGTCTTTACTGTCTGATGTATTTTCTTTCTTTAACTATTAAAAAGTTGGAATGTCAGATGCTGATGGCCTGCAAACACATCCTCCCCACAGAYATTCCTTCAGAAAGCAGACAAGCAAGGAGGGTTTTATTTTTACAGACCATGGTTCAGTGACTCGCACGTTCCTCTATCACAAACCAGAACATTTCTGTTGGAATTTCTGGAACATTTCTGGTAAAACCAGTAATATCAGCTGTGCTGCCTACACTGTTAAAATGTGAAGTGTTGCTAGTTTTTAACAGTTTAAATTCATACTATTCACCTGAAGARCAGAGTCCTAGACAGTTAATAAAACCCATTCTGACAGCTGTATCTTCACTTTTCAGTAGATTTCAGAGCATTTTACTGGTCCCCTCCAAATTCTGCATTGTYCTGGGTAAGCAATTATGTGAATGCTCTTACCAGTCTTGTGGCATGAGTTTCAGAGGCTGGTCTACAACTCGGTAAGGGACAGTGACACTGACTGTGGTTCCCCCAGGCTGCATCTGGTCCTTCCTCCTCTGGATTAGAGTCTCGTTCTCTCGCTGGCAGCCCTGCTTCTTCTTCTCATCTGATGGCACAAACCTGAGGGAACAACAAACCCCTCAGTAGAAAATGGGCAATTTACTCGATGGAATCAGCAGGAAAAGCAACAGCTTTATCAGAACTCAGCATTATTGACAGCGGTCACTGAAGCCACCTCGTTTTCATCAWGCCAGGTCTCCATCCCTACTCATTCAGAAGAGCAAAAAAAAAGTAAGAGTAATATTTCATAAGTCCTCATGATAAAAAGAGTCACACTTAAAGGCTCTCTGTGCCACAAAAACACAGCCTGACCTGTTCTTACTCATTTGGGGCACCAAAACAATCACTTTCTGGAGCAAATTTTAAGAGCCATTAGGACTATTAGCCCACAGAATTTTCTCAAGAAAGCTTGGATTTTTTGGTCAAAAGTGGTTTTGAGCAAGGTTTTATTTTTTTGGATGATGGTGATTTTACATTTTCAATGATTCATCTGGTTACTGTGATGTATGATACCACAATTCCTYTGGGTTTCTTTTCTAAAAAGATTCCCTGATGGAATAAGTGCTTGTAAAATACAGATAATGTGGTCCTGGTGTCATGTGTAATCTCCATATGACAAAAACAAATGCATAAGATGTGACACGGCTTTCCTCCCTCCAATTAATTACAGATCTCTAATCTTTCAGCCCCCTCACCTTAAAAAGCAAATGCAATCCCATTTCAAGGCCCTCTTCTTTATGGTGATAATAAAACAGTTTCAAACCACAGTACATAGCTGGCAACATTTCTCCTCATTACAGAGCTCACGGTGCTTTTGAGCAGTTTACTACATTTTTGGTTAAGTTGTTTACACCATTTCTATTTGTTCTCTTCAATCTATTTCTATTTGAATACTAAAAACCAATTTGAATGTGCTTTAACAAGCAGACTGCACTTTCTATTCCTGGATAAACAGAAAAAAAATGCAAGATGGAATATGAAGAAAAGTTCATTATTCAGTCAAATCGAAAAAACTAGTTTTCTCTACACAGCCAATGAGAAAATGGCATTGTGGGGAAAAAAAAAACAAAAACAAAAAAAAACCAAGCGAACAAACATGTTTTAAGGCAGCAGGTGAAAATTGTCAATAAACCTTCAAGCAAAACTGTTTTACTTTCCCGATGTAAATGAACAGATGATGCCCCCTCACACTCCTCGTGATTTAACAGTGTTTGAGAAACAGAAAGTCACAAGCAATTTCTGAAATGTGTGTCCAAGTGCATTCAACTGATACAACTGCATTGGGAAATTAAAAAAGCCCAACACCTGCAAATGACTATGAATGGTGCATTAAAGCTGCAAAGACAGAAAAAGCATCCCAGCTGTTAAATCAGGAGCTATAAATTAAATTATGCTTATCYGTCTGGTACATATGAAACACCATCACTCTAAAGGAAATACAGATAAAAAAGCTGCACAGGGAGAAAAGAACACTTAGGCCACCTAGAATATATTTTTTTTTAAAGTCACAATAATAATTTTCCCAATAATTGAATTAATTAGCACAGTTTATATTTACATACATTTTATCCATCACAACACACTGACACATAAAATTGCTTTCTACACAGAAGCACTCAACTGGGCTCTGCACTGGAAAAAGCCATCAAAGGCAACACCAGTATTTATGTATTTCTAATCAATTTTCTAAATTAAGAATTCCAAAGAGAGGTGCACCTTTATCATGAGSACTCCCAATGGCTTTGCTTTGCCAATAATAACTGATAAGAAACTCTGYCACTTAAAATGAAGATTTGCTTGGTGGTCCCTCAGATTTCAAAGGAACTATTAATGAGTCTCTGATTACTCATTAGAACTAAAGGAATCTCAGCTGAAAAGAATTAAAACAAATTTTAAATAATATAATAMAAAATAATAAAAGAAACAACCCCTCAAACACCTTTTAGGAAAAGCCAGGATCTCCTGAAATGGTGGGCAGCTTGAGAAGAATTTTGTTATTCTGTGTCCCATGCACTAAACTCTTCCAGAGTATGTAAAAAAAGGCCAAACAGCCCTACACACATTACAGTGATAATCAAGCATTCATCTGAACAGGGATCTCAAAGGTCACACTTTARGTTTAATTTGTAAATGTGAGGAAGCAAACACATTTGAAATGGAAACAGGAAAAAGCAAGGCAGCCCTGCCAAGTGAAAGGGAAGGCAATATTGCTGTGCTAAAGAGTAACAACTTCACTGCTCTGAGACCTCTTAAATTGGGCTGAAATAGGCATTCTCAGCTTTAAACGTTTCTGTGTTTAAAAATTCATTTCAGCGCTAGTTTTTGGCAGTTTCTCTCCATTTCAGCTAGAAACTGTGTTACAGCTATTAAGGCACCATTCAYTTGTGCCTCAGTTATGTCCCTTTTAGACAATGGCTTCACTTTTTATTTCCTGAAAGAAATCAGAGTGTTTTTGAGTGCAATTCCCTAGGACACAACACAAAGAGATCTTGTTAGGGAAAAACTATCAATGAGCAGATTTAAATGGAAGAGTGGAGAAGACAACTGTCACAAAGCAAGCATTGAAGCAAGAGCTTCCATACACATAAACAGAGTGCAGGAATAAAGCCCAGCTTACAGAAAATTATGGAATATATTCCTGCATTTCTGGGAACCATCAGCTCAGTGAGCACAGCAAAAGTCATGTGCTCAAGAACTGACAATCAATAGAAATTACTGGATGATTTTAAATATGTATGGCCTATGCCATCATTACCAGATATAAAACACAAGAGTAAGAAATCTGAGTATTAAACACCAAAAATCCCATCTCCTCTTGGAAATGATTTCTAATGTTATTACATAAAACCACAGCCAGTGGCTTAACTACACATTTGTACTTRACACCTTTTTATACACCACAAATGGGTTCTGAAACCTCAGTGTGCAGGAGCTTAGTTTCTTGCTGCTTCTCCAGATTATCCCTTAACTAAAAAAAAGAAAAATTAATCCTTATCAACTTAGAATGCACTTTTTTACCCCTGTTAGAGGCAGGAAATTAATAGCCCTTGCTGTTAATTGCCCAAATCATTATCCACTAAAAAATGGTGCACTCTCACTTTCCAAAGGGAGATCCCTTCCCTCAGGTACAGGGAAGAGAYTGAACACCATCAGCTTGTGGGAGGTAACTGCTGGGACTTTATGCTCTGAATGCCTGAGCTGCTCCTGCCTCRGCTCTGAACTCACATCCTCTGCCAGCAGAACCTTTCAAACACTTCCACTGAGGTCAGATCAGCCCTTTCTGGCCCCCAGCTCAGGCACACTGAAAAATGCATGAACAGAGAATAAGRCAACTCACCAGCAACTGAGATCATCGTAATACACATTTGATTGTGTTCAGAACTGGAGACTGATTTTTACAACCCTCTSAGTATTTCTGCTAAATTACAGAATCAAAAGCTTTAGATACCTATTTTTGCAGGAGAACAAAGCTTTTTTACACCACATCATGCCTGAATCTATCCCAGATCCTTCACTCAGCATCAAAGCTGGATAAATCTCCACTGAGGTGCCAGGCCACATATGGTGAAATGTGTTACAAGCAAGAGCATCATCATAATAAAAATACATAATCACCACCTAATCATTCTCATYTGCCTGATGGAATTCCTGCTTTTGCTCCATGGAAAGCAGAAGCCTTGCCTCTGAAAAGCCAGACTTCAGGTATTCTCAAATACTTAGCCACAATTTCACACAGTAATTGTGATATCCAGGCTTGCATTCAGATAGTGAGCAAGAATAAAGTGGATTATACAAAATATTTTAAAGAAGCGTCACAACATACCAGAATATACTGCAGTKCTGATTTTAAATTAAATTATATCTTTTCACTATTTTAGAAACTCTTCATTTTATGTTTTACTTGGCTCCATAGGAAAAAAAAAAAAAAACTTTCTAAAAAAGTTAGTGATAATATTTGCATATTCCCAGGAGGTGAATTGTGTATGTTACCATCACATACAGAAATGCCCCCTTCAAAACTAAGTTGAAATAAACACACTGAATAGAAAAATTAGATACCTTAAAAATAAAATCTCAAATGAGTACCCTGTTCTGGATATGACATTACATATATTTCCTTCTACACGTGATAGGTTTCCTGCTTTCCATATTCTCTACCTTCAAAGAGAGCCTAACTTTAGAGATAAATTRAAGATGCTGAGCATCATACAAATGCCAGCCAAATTTGGCAAGGAAAACTAACACACTACAGAGCTATGAAAAGGSTTAGTAAAAATGTGGGTATAATTAATAGGTTTCTCACAGTTCTTGACAATTCAATTTGAAGTCCTACCATAGAACTGCATGAAGAATCTCCTGTTTATTTTACAACCACCAACCTAAAATATTTGGTCATGATACCACAATTAATTTTTCTCATTTCCAAACCGACCACGCATTTCAGTCCAGCTCCTTATAAAAAAAAAAATCCAGCACTGTAGACAAAAAGTATCCTAAAAGACAGACATTCCCAGCTCTGACTAAGTTTTGATCTCTAATTCTAATTTCAGCTTTTCTTCTTATTTTGTTTTAAGAAACATTTAAATGGACAGATTCACATAAGTTGATTTATGAAACCCAAATTCTCATTCTTTTTGATGACACACTTCACAGACTGTGCTACCTCAGGGATCAGACCTATAAAGAGTTTCCATAACCATCCCAGGGGCATCATCCTCCCAGGAATCTCCTGTATTTCTTCCCAGTCTCCGCTGCAATGGCTCTTACCCTTCCAGCTCCAAAAATCTCTCCTTCTCCTGCTRTATCACCAATCTCCTCTGCTGGCAAATACAAACAGGCTGACAGAAATACAGGAAATGCAAATCTACCTGCACCTTCCTCAGCAGGGGGACGGGAGGGAATATTCATTTGGGTCTGACTTTTCTATCTGGACAATATTTCTTTATCACAAAACTTGAGGCASTGACAGGAGCCTTTGAAATCTCTGCTCTTCTGTCAGATTTAGCTGCAAGTGGGGAATRAGTTAAAGAAGGAGCTGACTTAGAGGCAGAAATTAGCAAAGTCTTCTTCCCTTGGAAAACCATCACATTTCCATCAATCACACCCTACATCAAGGCTAGTTCTACACTCTGCATACCTGAACAGTAAAAACAAACCCTGAAGCCATTCCTCAACAAAGTACTTCCATAAATCTGAATGCAAAAAAATACAGGCCAGGTGGCATATTTTCCAGGAGAGTGCTAGAACTGTCATGGCTAAATTAATATTTTGCTCTTCTGAATTCTGCTATTGCACTTGTGATTCATTAACACAGCTCGCATCTCCCCTTTCTCTTTCATACAGGATAACTCTGCTCGCATCTCCCCTTTCTCTTTCATACCGGATAACTCTGCTGTGTCCTCCTTTGAACCTTTCCACTTCCTCACAGTTTTTTCTGGATTGTGTTCATTGCACTCTAAATCTGAGCATCCTCTCAGGACAGGCCTTGGGATTTTGACTGCAACTGTGCCCCAGTGGAGCTGGGAACAGCTGAAAACTCACTCCCCTGGCACAGATGCACTTAGACATGACAGGTGCTTCATTCCTTTCCAGGTACACCTGTGCCAGGAAGTCACAAATTACACAGATGGAAAATCCAGGGCTTGTTGTGATTTTTTTTTTTTTTAAACATAAAACCACACATAAACAAACAACACCCTCTGTCAAGCCAATTAGATCATTGCAGTGACTGCTGGCACATTAAACTGTAATGTTAAAAGCCAGACTTCTCTCAGAGTATTTCAGAACACTCCCTGGATCTTTGATGGCCTGTGGCAGTAAGTTGGGAATGAGATCAGAAGGTACCTGGTATCTCCCAGCACAGTTTACACAATGCTAGAGCAACTCCAGCAGCAGCTGAGCACCACACCAGGACAGGCTGGTTTGCAARAAAAAGCACTGTGACAGTCTCAGAAAAGATGAGTGCTGGAGCTGATAAAAAGATGAGCCCTCTGTTTTTTGGGCATACCAAAAACAGTGCAGACAACCTACAACAGTGTATTTCTGTGAAAATGACTGTTTCAAAAACATTAATTGATATTTACTGATCAGCAAGTCTAAACACCATAATCTGTTGGACAAGCAGAAAGATTCATTCCCCCATAATGATTAAATCTTAGGATCAGATGTGTGATACAATGAACAAGTTTTAGCAACTCACTGATATTTCCCTGGATGCATTTACATAAAAATTCAATGACAATATGTGAACTTTAGAAAAAAGTCTTTACACAAGCAGCTGGGGTGGTTGACTGATACAGCCTGATACAGCCCCTCTGGTCACCTTCTCCTTTACAGTAACTGTKGTCCTTTCCCAAAATCTTTTCTGAGCTTGCCTCCTTCCATGGTAAGGGCTCACTGATCATCTGAATCACAAATTCACAGATATTACACAAAAGAAAACCACTGATACTGCAAGAGTTCTCCTCAATCTACCCACAGGTCACAACTGAGCCAAAATTCTGAATTCAGTTTTTGCTTTTCTCCTACTAGTCAACAAGAATTAATTTATTTTACACTCTGGTCTGTAAAACTAGGTTGGCACAAGAGACTAGATGAACCCTCTTGCTTAATTACTAATTAGGTGCTAGTAGAACTTTATATCTGAAAACAATTTGTTATACAGTAYGTTCTAATCAGCTACTTACTTCAGATCTTGCAGAAGGTCCTTTGCATTAAGCATTGTTATTAAAGAGGTCGTGGCTGCTGGAATAATGATTATGGGAGTTCGAGATCCTGTAGAGACAATAAAGTTAGACTTGCCTGGAGGGGTTTTTTTTTCACTGTGTTCTGGTTGTTGTTTCCTCCCCTCCCCCACTTTTTCATTAAAAAAGCTGTACATGAAAACAAAACTTTTACTTAACAAGTCACAATCGTGTAAGTAAAGTTGACTCACCCTTTTTCTGGTTTGGAGGTGGTCTTGCTTGAGAAACTGAGAAAAAAAACCAAAAAATACATCAGAATGACTAGGACATAAATGCAAATGTCAGTGCAAGGCATCTGTTTAATKGCAGGAGTGAATAGGGAAGAGTCACACTACAGTCATCAGATCATTTTTACAGATGCCAGACACTAAGATGCTGAAGGGGKTGATAATTTGGGTTTGAGAATTCAGAAAACAAACAGCTTTTGACCATCTGAAGCAGATGTTGGGAGAGTTGAGTCAATCTCTTCCATTTTTACTGGAGATTTCATTCCCCCTCCATCCTCCACAAAAGGACATCACAGCATGGACAAAAATTTCCAGAAAACTTGAAAAARGCTGCTTGTAGATCTTCAGTTCAAYGGTGCTGAACCAATGGGAAAACTTTCACWACAAACTGACCTCTACAAACCCTCACCTTTCCATTAGTAGTTATTATTGTACATATATTGTACATATATTATTGTAAAATACATGATCTATTGTACATGTATTATATCCAGCCATTTAGCTGTCCTGGACATATATGGAACTTTCAACAGWCAAAACCTGCATTTCAGGCTTCTTCAGGTTCATTTTGGATTGCAGYTTGGGTTACATGAGGTCTTTAGGTGACGGAAACAGTCAAGCTTGATACTCAAGGGGAAAACCACCCAAGGAACCGGAAAAGAAAAAAAAAAGAAAAAGAAACACATCCTACTACCAAACAAACTTAGCCTCAACCACCAAAGAAACCCACAAAAACACTATTGGACAGGCAGAAACCAAAGAACTGCCCCCATCTCCCCAGTAAAATGTTTCCACTTCAGTGCTCCAAGCTGTGACCACCCCAGTACGGCAGCCACTGCATCCCAAAGCTGGAAAAGCAGCTTTCCTTCTYCACTTTGGTGCTATTGCTGCATCACCTGGCTTCCCCAAATAACCCTTTACAGCTCAGCTTACAGCAGCCCTAACTTCAGGAGAGAACTGCAGCACTCGATAATCATCATCATCCATGTTTATCCTAATTCAGAAAATGGTGAGTAGTAGAGAGATTGATRCAGACTAACTCAAGTCTCAACTGCTACTATGCATGACAAATTTCATTAATTGACTTCCAATTGCATAGCACCAACTTGCTCATGTTTATTTATGACCAACTGTTTCAGAAACTTCCTAGAACAGTATAAATATTCACAACACATACTTGCCATTGTTGAAATATTGAGACCATATCCTTAATTATCTTTTCCTGACACTGTCAAATGCACAGATATAATTGRCAACACTATATTGAACTACATGAACTTTACCTACCCAATGATTTTTAATTATTTTTTTTAATCTAGGTATCTCCTTAATGTAAAAATGTTCTTGAAATATATGGGCAGAGCCAGCTGTCCTAATGAAAAAAAAACAAAACAAAAAGGAGGGAGAGGGAGAATAAGCATCTGTAYGAAATTTAATAGCTGTACAAAGACAGGTTAGGAGAAAAGTTAGTAATACAAAATGATGCCAAAAAATTAATTTAAGAGCACATCTCAGGTATTCTTTCCAAATCACTTCTGTGCAACTGTTTAGCCTAATTTAWCTAATGCTTCCTATGTGCAAACAGCATCCTCCAGGAAACAGTGTTTTTTAGTTGCTTTGACTGCTAAGAATAGAACAGCTGAATTTTAAAAACACCCAAATATCAAAACTCCAAAACATCCTAGAACAGGCAGAAAGAGAAACATCTTCTGATTACACCTCTCTTCTTGATTCTCTCCTCAACTTCCAATATCRAGGCAAGCTCACGGCTGGGGCTGGYCTTCGAGCAGGGCACTATCACTGTAACCTCTATAAAACACAAACCCACGCTGCTGGCAGGAAATGCCCAGGAAGTCACAGCCAGCAGCAGGGACTGTGACAACTCAGTCACATTTCTGTTCTTGCCACTTGTACCCTTTTCATACCGCTGTCTGTCAACTCCATCTGCATTAGGATGCTGAGCGGGGCCAGCGAGATAAGTATGACAGGCAGCATGACCTTTCCAGYTCCAAAATAACCAAACACAGGAATCTGGGCACAACAGCACTTAGGCATGCTGAGAACATTCAATATTAGAATAGATTTTAGGGGAAGAAGCAGCTTTACAATATTAAGTCTTAGCATTAAATCCGGCAAACAAATCTCAAGGAATTAGCAAGGCACACATGGAAAGCRTTTAGAGTCTCAATGAGGATATACAGTATTCCAGCAGCATTTCTGGAAAAAGTATTCTCATTTAAACAGGTAGCTTTGCTTCCAAAACCCCCAGAATGTTCCCAGGACCTTCAGAACCTCATCTTGGTYTGAATTAACACCTTTCACTCGAGACCCTGTTCCACCAAACCCAAAATTCTCACAGTATGTAAACCAGGGTGTCTGCACATCRCTGTTTGCAAACACTGTCCCTCGCATGTACTCCTCTCACATACTTCTAAAAACTAAGGGTTTCTCATTAAACAAAGTACATTTATCAGCCCATCACTGAATCAAAACTCGAGATTCAACCTGACAGACAAATGGATTTGGTAGCCAAAATCTACCAGCTAGGAGTTAAAAACCCAGTTGAGGACTCTGGCCCCGTTACAAATACCTTATGTGCTAAGAAGTGTGAAGTAATAGATAACACATTCAGAGAATTACTTATTCCTGATGTATTAATCCTAGAAGTAATAACACATCTCTTTTTGAGATCAGCTATTCTGTGTAGGTTGTTTATCCTTGGAGTATTAACCGGTTCTTRTTAGATATTTGAGTGGGAATTTTGGGAAATTTTAACTGGTGAAATATCAAGCCCACAACCAAGAAGTCTGTGACTTTTTTATTTCAATGGGCTCATTGGGTAACACACTGCAGAGAATGACCCCAAGTCCCATGGTACAACATTAAAAAAAATGCTATGTTTTTCTTTCCAATACATGCACAGTTAAAGGCCAAAAATAAACAACCCCTACTTCATTCTTGAGCTAATAAAAGTTTAAAATAGCACTTGTTTGAGACTCCTGCATATGTGGGACAGAAGCACAAGGGACAGTGGGCTCCCTTACCTGGTCGTGGCACGGGCTGTGCTGCTGGAGTTTGTGTTTTTCGAGCAGATGCACCTTCCTTTGGAAAGACAGAAGAGGCAACATTAACAGCTGACCTTCTTGTCAGGTACAGGAGTTTTTCAAATGAACACAGAACTACAGAGGGTATCACAATAATGAGGGCAATATGTTTCCACTAAAGAGAAGAAAGAAAATAGAGAAAATACTCCAAACTCTTTATASATCCTGCTTTAGACTTGGGGAGGACAGACAACCTCAAACTTTTATAGGTTTACATTTTAACCAATCATAAACCTTTTAAATATACATTCAAAGAAACCTCTTCTATTTATAGTATTGCTTCATTTTCCCTACTATCACTTTCACYAAGGGTTACTAATGTAAATATAAGCAACTGGCTGTAGAAATTTCCAAACAAGATCTGCTTATGCTCTGGATGGAAACCCAGGACCAAGAAATTGCAATGCATTCCTGCCTTGAGGAGTTTGAGTGCCCAGAAATAGCACTCTCATGATAATTAGTTCTGCTCATGCCTGATCCAATTACCTTAATGTAGCACACAAAAGACCTGCACTACTGTTTATTCTTGTTCACTCCCCAGAGCCAACACAGMACCAAAGAAAACACTGAGGTCACACGTCTGCTTGCAAAGCAACACTGAATTCCTGCAAGAAGCAATTCTGTTCTCAGCTACTGCTGTGAAACCTCGCTCAACATAACACGTTGCACTAACATGTTATAAAGTTGCAGTAGATCCCAGCCACTTCTATTTGCAGAGCTGACAGGAAAKAAACTTTTAACAGGAAACCATGAATTTTATCTGAAAATGACTTAAATGCTATGTATCTTATAACCATGAGACACCCAAAGTCAGAGATCCCACTCAGAAAAACCTGTCAGGAATGACTCCAAGGGGGCATTGTCAGACTTCTGTGTCCAGGCATAAATAACAGCATGATTTGTAATTCAAAATAAATGAAAGCTAATGAGAGGGCTCAAGTTCCATGGTTTAAATAACACATAGAGGAGCTGCTTATAAGTTTCCATCCTGAAAGTTAAAACTCTTWATCTCAAGATCTCTGGGGTACAAATAGAAGGTCCCACACAATCCCTCARAAAACGCAAATTTACTCAAAGCCTCTCTTCCCTTTGGTGAAGCCACCCATKATTAGTTACAATAAACTGGAGCTGACATTTGGTGCAGTGTGCAGCTTTTGTAACTTTTACAGGCAGYGACCTCCCATTAATCTTTAGTATAAGGATTTAACCCTGCACTGTAAGAAATGGATCTATCCCAATTTTTGCTGTGCTCTTTTCTGATTATTAAAATACCAACATTTATGTAGGGCAGTTGAGTCAGTACCTGTTATTTTAAGACACACTTTTATAGCAGCAGAGGAAAGGTACTTTTGCCAATGTCCTTTCACAATAATTACTCAGAAAACGATAAAAGTGAAAATACCACCACACTCTAAAGGAAGGGCAGCAGGAAAGGCTGACTACCTTTGAGAGAAGCCTTGCAACTGAGAACAGCATCTTCAACTTCCACTTTCCAAGAAAGCAAAAATAAAACATTTTGCACCTCTTTCTGTGGAAAGATACCATGTTCTGTGTCAAAAGAACGATTCTGCGCTGCACTAGTTACTCATTTTAAAGAAACCAAGAATTCCCCCATAATACTTCCTTCAATTCACAATACTTGATGAAATGTAAAGGAAATTAGCAAGCTAAAGAAACACCAACTCCTGCAATGCTAAGGTTCAAGTTTCTAGATCCAGTTCAGTTTGCACAGATGCACAACCATCCCTGTCTGCTGTCCAAACCTTCATTGCTCTTTGCAGCCCTACAGAATCAGCAGCGTTGGTGCCTCTCTGAACTCAGCCAGAGCCTCCTGTCTCAAACAGACCCTGCAGGGAAGGGAGGCAACACGAGCTGCTGAGAGAAACTCCTGGGAAGAACGACAACCAAATSGGACCCAAAGCCAACCCAGTGACTTGAGCTGTATGAAATTATCTGTTTGGGAGCTTTTCAYACTCTCTGAATTGCCTGCTCCACAGCAATTCATGGGAAACTTAGTGCAAGAGCCTAAAACAAAAAAGGCAGGCTGTGAGAACGTGGCAGCTGAAACAAACAAAATACACCACCCCCCTAAACCAACCACAGGAAAAAAAATCATAAAATATCTGATTAATAGTAGGAAAAAATTCATTTAAATGAGTAATTACCACTTCCATGCCTATGACCATTCAATTTGTAAGAATAAATTTTGCAAATCAATAAATTACAGAGGTCACAGCTTTTAGCTGTATAAATTGGTACCTCAGACTATGATAATTTCAGGAACCAACCTCCCTCAGCTCACAACTGCTGATATTGAGGCATCCTGGAAGCTCAGCTGTCACCTGCTGAAGGTGCACCATCAATCCTTTGTAGGTGATTTACACCCCTTCTCTTTTCACCATTTTCAGTGATCTAACAACCACCTCCTATTTTGTAACAACTGCAGCCAARGAAGCAAAGGAAACTCCGATCAATATTTCACCCCCACATTTCTTAGAAGACTGGTAAGGAGAAATGTAAACTATCAAGAGGAGAAAAAGAACAAAGTACAGAGCTGTGATGGTTGACAAGATCTGCCAAGTGGAGAAGAAAACCTGGTGTCAACAAGGGTGYCATTAGCCAGATAATTTTGTTAATATTTTCCTTTTTCCTGCTAAGTTTCGATTTAAAATTAATGYTTTTCAAAAACACTGAGACAGAGATAGAAGCTTGTCCTATGACAACACACTGATTTAAAACAAGCTCTGCTCACAAGGCAGTTATAACCACAGACAACCCCATGCCAGGATTTCTTCCAAAGAAAAGGAGTATTAATTTGTACAGAAAATTAAATTCTGTAGAGAAACCTTCATAGCTGGTTCATCCAACTACACCAGGTAGGGTGCTGCTGGTCATTTGTGGCCTCTCAGCCACCCCAAGACAGCTCTGTGTCTGCACACTCTCACTCCCTGGAAAGGCAGAAGTTAWTTCTCACTGAGCACACAGCAAGATATTTCAAATCTTCTCCTGTGAAGTTTTTAATCTGAAAGTCACTCTTAAGTAACCAGCACGCTGCAAATTCAAGCTCCAGCTAGGGGAGCTTTTGTTCCTGCAGCTGTACCCTAAGCATCATAAGCAGCAGAAATCACTGTTTAGCTATTTAAAGAACATTCATTTCCTCAAAATTTCGGAATACTTAAACAGTTTTGCTTGAAAATGACATACCTAATTCTTATGCATAAGCTGTTTGACACTGTTAAGGAGTGTATTATGAATATTCATAAGTTGAAACTAATTTAGTAACAAAACCATGTAATTTGAAAAATACAAATCTTCTTTCAGACGACCACTTAACGTTGTATTTTAATCAAAAACATATTACTTGGTTTACTTGTGCTAATTTACCATAGAAGGTTATATATATATGGTTTACTTATGAATTCCATTAAATATTGGAGATTTAACCATTGAGAAGGAACAACCTGACATTGAATGCAATCAGCTCCACACTCTCCTGAGCCTCACTGCATCGTTTCACTGTGGTGCTGTATCTGCTTCCCTGTGGGGCTCATTTCAGCCAGACATTTAAAATATCCCTGCTCAATTCTGGTTTTGTGTTTTGGGTGTTTTTTCTGCTGTTTGGCATTGTCCTACCTAAACACTCACAAATAGTGGGTTCAGAACCAATGCATGAGCAGGAAACAGCTCAGMACGTGTGGTGAGTACATGTGGTTACTACATTTAAGTTACTTAAGAGTGAGTGCCAGGCTTTTCTTTGTTTTCTTTTAGACACTTTGAAAACATTTTGGAGTGCYTTTTGACCTTACTAAACATACTAATACGTTCTTCTTAAAACAGTAATTATTTGTATTAATTAACAAAAATTACCCGTTATCAACACTAATCYRACAGGATAACTATTCAGGACCCAAMTATTATTTTCMTGTATTTTAGAAAAAAGTCTGTATTTTAGRTACTTTGTACTTTTCTTAGGTYTAAACGAGTATTAACAGCCACAATCAGGTTAATTCCATTTCCCAACTGGAATGAGAMATTTTCTGAACAACAACTTAAGAAAATAAATCCTCCTGTTCTAAACCAAACTATTAAAGGTATCTTATGGCAGCTTCACAGGTTCAAATGGTGGAAGGAGAAAGAATTTCATTGCATATTCCCTTTCCCAGCTGGTTTTTATGTAGAGAGCCATAGAGTCTGTGGTATTTTGACCTTTAAAAAAAAGGGCAAAGGACAGAGTTGACAATTTGATGCCATCTTGTGGTTTTCTTAATTTGGTAAATTTAATTATTATCTTGTTCCTTAATAATATTTAAATTAGGACCAGAATTTCACCCCCAAATTTGAATATTATTGGATAGCTTGCATGTTCCTGCAATGTACAGAATAGTACAAGCAAAAAGTAACATTGGATTCTGYAAGAAATGTGAGCTTGGATGTGACACCCAGAGCAGCCTCCAGCTCMAGCAGCCATGACAGGATTCACCCAAAACCAGCTCTGTTTGTGAGGAGCTCAGTAAAACTTGCATTCAAAAGAGAAAGAAAATAAGTACATGTGGATGGAGAGCTTGTAAAATTATCTTTAAGAACMGACTTCAAGGTACCCATTCAATTTAGGGTACAAGAGACTGTAAAAACCCATTTTAATTACCAGCAACTCTGTTGTCATTTCCTGAGTGATTTAAGTATTGAACCTTTGAAAACTCTAGTAAAGCCAGCCTAGAGAACTATGAAAAAATTTAAAATAACTGCATAGTTCAAAAGAATACTATTTTTTCTATAAATTAAATATTGTCTATATCAATGTATGACAAACAGCCAAAACAAAGGGCTGACTTCAAAGCAGGTATCTAAAAACTGGTCCAGATGCCCTACTTGGAGCCTGAAAGAAACATCTATTTCATATAAATTGGATTCTGAAAACATGGGGCTTTGTTCTAAAAATTTAAAGCCCTTAAAAGCCTTGGAAAAAAATCCAAACCTTCCAAAGCATCAAGCAAAATA